TACCTGAAGGCCCCTCAGCCTTGGGGCCTCATCCTGGCCAGACTCAAAAACCACTAGCCACATACATATCTGTGCATCTGTACATTACAAACAACACTGACCATGCCATTCTGTTTTAGCAGCAGATAACAGACAAGACAGTGTGGCTGGTAAATGCTCCCTAAAGGTCCATGCACCAAAAGCTTGATGCCCAGGGTAGTGTTATGAGAAGGGGGGTGTAACCTGTAGAAGCAGGGCCGGGAGGAGATCCTTAGATCACTTGGGGGAGGTGCCTTTGAAGGGGAGTGTGGGACCTGGCCCCTTCCTCCTTCACTTTGTTTTCTGACTCACAATGTAAGCAGTTTTGCTCTGCCATGTGTTCCCACCATGATGTACTGCCCTTGTGAGAGCTCAAAGCCCAGAAGAAGTTGCCAAGATTTCACCTACTGTATTAGTCAGCTCTTCATCATTGGCAAACAATATCCGACATCCACAATTTAAAGGAGGAGGTTATTTGGCTTAGTTAGAAAGGCTTCAGTCCATGTTTGGCTAGCTCTGAGGCAAGAACATTACGGTTGAAGAGTACGGTGGAACAAAGCTACTTACTTCATGGTGGCCCAGAAGAAGGGCAGAAGAACAGTACCAGAGAGGGTGGAGCCAGGGACCAGATAAATCCCAAGACCCTCCTGCAGGACCCACCAAACATACTCAGAAGTCCCTAGGCAGCTCCCAAGTCAGTCAAGATGAAAAATTTCTGGCTGTTCCCCAATGTCAAAATGACCCAAAAGGTAAATATTTTGAATGAATTCAGGACATCAAGGCATCCACAACAGTGCAAGTAAACATATCCATGAAGAGGAATTCTAGAGCTACTTTAGCACGTGCCAAGAATAACAGGACAAGTGTGCTCAAAGTGAGGGCAGTATTTTGTGGGGATTAATGACATCATGTTTTTTACTGTAATAATTTAAAAAAAAATTTTTAAACATTCACCATATTTTCTAATCACACCTTTAGAATACTTTATTATGAAAACCTTAAATACCTTCATGAATCATGTTAGCTGATTCACACACCAGTAGTCCTCCTACATTTGAACACAACCATTGTGGCAATTAATAAGTTGATTTGTTGGTGAAATATTTTTGGAACTCTAGAGTTCAAAGGGTTTAAAATAAGGTTCATAAACTGCAGAAAGTTTTTAACAATAGAGGCATTGAGCTAAGTTTGATAAAGGGCCTTGTAGAAGAAAGAGATCAAGTCAATGATGTGACTGGAGAATTTTCTTAACCAAAAAGAGAAACAGGTTACGAGAAATCCAAACAGCAAGATAAAGCAGTGCTTATTACCAGTATACTGAACAAATAAATTCATATCCGAGTTCATTTTCTAAGGCACACATTAAATGAGTTTAGGGGATATTGGTAAAAGATGGATGAACCATAAATACAACTTAGATGAAAGAAGAGGGCAAAAATTTCAACAAATGTTTGTTTAAAAATTTTTGGAAAGTAGTTACTTGTTATTTGTGATGATTTAATATAAGAGCATGCCTTTCAAAGACTTAGTTTATATATATTCTAGTTATTTTATTAAAAATTGTGGGTCACGGGCTAGGAGGATAGCTCAGGGTAGAGTTTTGCACATACAGATATGTAAGGCTCTGGGTTCAATTCCAAGCTCAAAATAAAAAAATTTAGGGTCAAATGTAGAAAATAATGTGTAGGCTGCTGCTAAGATCACTACTCAGTCTCAGGAAAGGGCACAGGACCCCCCAAAGCATGTCTTGGAAAAGAAACCCATTCCCAGGCATTGCAGAGTGCGCTGTAATCTCAGAAATGATAAGGAAGATTTGGCGGGGGCTATACAGCAAGAAGAGTCTGGGGGCAACTTACAGGTGTCACTTATAATTGGTAGTTGGAGAGTACAATTCTTGGGTGCAGCAGTGATTGTCAGGCATGCTCCCACTGGCCAAGGGAGTTGGAGATACATTGTTTTCAACTTGTTTGGGTGTGTCATAAAAACCATTAGGAATTATTGTCATTTAAGAACAAGGAAAATAATAATTTTATTACCACAATATATTTACTTTACGATTTTCCTACTCTGAAATTTGCTCTTTATAATCAGCTTCTTAAATCTCTGGCTATTATCATATAAATATTAATATTGTATTTTTTCCCAATCCAAATTCCTTATTAAGATCTGGGGAGCTCTGTACAACCTGATATCGATCTTTCTCTTTAATCCTATGTCCTCACATAATCCCTTTGGTAAAGAGAAATTCACTCTTTGTGAAGTTCTTTCCGGAAGGACTTCATGGAAGTGGGACCTGTGCAGTGGAACGGAGCCCCATTCCCAGAAGACTCTGAGGATGGCTTTATGATCTATTGCTGCCATCTTGAAATTTTAATAATTTTTAACTGGGGGGACGCATACTCTCATTTTGCAGTTCAAATTGTGTCCCAGAGCTTCCAACTGTACCCCTCTTGTGGAAGAGATTCCCCTTTCTTTCTGTTCTTCCATCACACCACCCACTTTCCCAATTTTCCCACCTCTAAACCACTGTGGGTCCTGTTTCTTTTCTGAACTGGCCTCCCGCTCCTCTTTAGGCAGTGGGTAATTGTCTCAACTTTCACTTTCAACTCAAAGGTTCGCCTCTCTGACAGATTTTCCCAATTTCTTTATTTAAAGTGCTTCCTCTAATCACTCTCTCTTTATCCACTATTTAAAGGCACTTACTACAATCTATAACCATCTCATTTCTTTGTCTCCCTGTTCACTGTCAAACATCCTCTTCTCCTAAATGGGAAGAAGCAGGAGAGCGAGTGATCTTATCTTTCTGGGCCATGCACTAAGTTAGCAGAGTTGAGACTAGAGACAGAGATTCTCTCCTTGACCAAACTGTGCTCAGACTCCTCCTGAGGCCACTTCTGGACCCAAGCCTTGACTTATAAAACTGTAGAGTTCTACAATAAATTATTTCATCCAACCTCTCCCACTGTACCCGCATCTAAAAGATGTGAACATGAACATAATTTCTGGTTGCTCAAGGCCACAGCCTTAGGATGAACACAGTCCTCTCCTAAAGTGCATATATGAAAAAATAAACCAAAGGATAGAAACAAAAATATCTAAGCTGCCAAAAGAACCTGTTTGTTTCCGCCAAGAGGTGAAGATGGTCCCAGACCACCCCAAGAGCATTTACTAAAACGAGTTCTCTATTTTGAATCCCTCTCCTGTGGCTGTGAGAGGTACACATGTCTCCTACAGACAAGGAGTCTCTTTCTTGAGGACCTGAAAGCCATTTCCTTGAAATGTAATCATGAAAAAGAACAGGGTCTTGGTCTCCCAGCCTCCATCCAAGCATAGAACCTTAGCTCCAGTGTCCAGCTAGAGACGCAGCTGCCTCAGGATATTCACACCGACCACCAATTCATTATATTTCACTTCTCAGGCTGCTCAGCTCTGGCTGTGCTATCTCCCTCTCTACTCCTTCATTCTTCCAATAACACACTCAGTCACCTCTGCACAGATCAAAGTGTATACTGTATGCGTGTGCACGCACACACACACGCACACTCACAAAAGAACCCTCGGAGATAAAATAGTATATTATTGTCCTTATCACTTTGATGTCCTGATAAAAGTACCAAATGGTGAATGTGCAGTAGAAATTTTAGTGAATAAATAAATTGCTAATAGTAATAAATGATGCTTCATAAAATGTCATGGAAGGAATTTTCTTGGCTAACTTGAAGAATTGAATATTTCATCCATTGTAATTCTGTAACATTTCCTAGCAATTTCCACTGAACACAGAGTCCTTATTTGAAATAAGTTACTAAGAATTATGAGAATATTTTATAAGTATTGCTGCCTTTCCATTAAATTTATGATCCAAAAAGTAACTTAATTCCCTAAACCAAAGAAAATGGACAACTCTATGAATAAAACTTGGCACAATTTGGAAGACAAAGAATAACTATTGACAGAAAATGAGGATAATTTCAGAAAACAAAACAGATTTAGATCAGAGGAACAACAATAACCAGTATGAAATGCTAGTGGGTTACATTAACAAAGCATGATCATAAATGTGAGATAAGACAGACCTCTCTTGGAAAATAACTTGGCATCGAGTGTTTTGGCCATAAAAATATTCATATTCATTATCTCACATCACCTACTTCTAGTGCCTTATTAAATAGAAATGTAATTTATGTAATATATGGAAAGTTCTATCTTCATAAAGATATTTGTAAGTGGCATTTTATAATATCAGGAAATTGAAAATAAACAAATGTCCAAATTTAAGGAAAGAGGCAAATTACAGTAATTCACTCAAATATTTTCTAAAAATGAAAAATTATACTGTATGGCAAGATGGGCATTGGTATATACAATTTCAAATGAAAAAAATCAGGATCAAAAATATATAAATATAAAAGAAAAACAAAATCAGAGCACAGACAAACATTAGAGGGTAGTTTATTCAGGGCAATAGCTATGAATGTACTTAATTCCTTCACTTTCCACCTTTTTGCTAATGTAATACAATATTTAATTATGGAAACATTTTCATTATGTCTAAAAGAACATTGTTTTTCATCATATAGCTTCATTTTGAATGTAGATCACTGTGAATTCTTTTTTGGGGGGTGGGGTACCAGGGATCGAAGTGGGGACCTTGCACTGTGAGGCAGGTGGCAGCACCACTGAGCTACATCCCCGGCCCACACTGTAAATTCTTAAAAGAGAACTTTTAAAGATGTTAAGTTTAAAATCAAAACAGACATAAGAAAGTTAACAAATTATTTCCAAGAGAGGTGTAATTTTACTCCATTAATAAATTCACCATAGCAGATATGTTTATAAGAAACAAAACAATAAAAGAATAAGGTTAAGCAATTGTGCAAGAGGCTTTTTAAAAAGGGTTAAGTGAATACATTGAAGAAAATTTTAGACAACAGCTGTTTCAAAAAGTAAATATAATTTTTAAAAATAAGGTTAATACTCACAGGTATGCAATATTCCACCATTGGGTAATGTAATTTGTGACCTTTTGCTGTTCGACCCGAAAAAAAGCAACTCTGGCAGACGTCATAGTTAAAATGCTTTAGGCTCCGATATCTAGAAAGAAGAACATTTATTGGCTTACATTCCTATTAATTTGTCCAAATCAATCTTTGGGGTATGGACTTTCATTCATTCAAATCACCAAGGAAATACAAGGTAGATTTGTCATATATAAATGGAATTTGCTTAGTATTTCAGGTTCAAATTAGGACAGAGAAAACCACCTCTCCAGTAGAACATGAAAGTACATTTTTGGAATTTAAATCTCTAAAACATGTTTCCATCTGTTTAGACATGATGAGAAGGCAAATATCCACGTCAGAGGATTTCCTGTCATGTTTGAATATAAACAGAAAATGAGAGCTAACAAAAGAGTTGTGATAATTAGGTTGACACATCAAATTTTCAAATATCCATTAAATCATCAATAAAATTTCTTCACAAAGGCATTATTTTTTAGAATGAGATTTTTATACTTGGTTTAAACTAGTCATTCAAAAAAAAATAAAGACTAAAAAGCAAGAAATACCCTATAACAAAGAGCAAACGAAATAAAATATTGACCACTGTGTATTCTTGAAACTGTTTTTTAAGTCTTTTGTGTAAAAATTACACTCTACACAGACTTCTATCTGCAGAGAAGTGAAACTCTAGCTACTAAATTTCTGTGGATCTGAGTAAAAAACATTTCCCAAATCTTTCATTTTGGTTGCATGGCTGCTGGAACTAAGAACATAAATTAGATCCATAATGCCAGAAAAAATTAAATGATAGCACTGAAAATGGAAACAAAATGTAAAGGTTATGTGAGGTTAATATTATAGAGTATTAAGTGCTGAGTAGCTTCTAAATGACTTGCAAAAGTTTGCAAGTTGATTTGAAGAAAAACAATCTGTCTATAGGCAGCTTATTTTGAAAAGCAACTACCTGGTTGAAAGATCACCTATACTAACAATAAGTCTTGACCTATCAGCATGGTGTGACAGGTATGACAGACATTTCCTCTCCCAAGTGGAGTTGTGTTTCTTGCTGATAGCCATTCTCTTCCTTCATTGGTAAGAAACTCCTGTAGCATTAGCACATTTTAGCAATGCAATTTGCTAGTGATATTTCTCAGTCTCTCTTGCTGATAATGGCAGCCAGTGCAACACATATTGAAGTCACTGGATGGGGTTTCCAGTTGGGATTGTAAGGAACTGACTCAACTGGGAAGAGGAATGCTCCTTTGTCCTCTTTGGTGGAAATGGACCTATGTCTAGAAAAGTCATTGTTAGAGTGAAGTGACGGTGAAAATGAAAGTCACACTTTAGGGTAGATAGAGCATAAAGACAGAACTGGGGATCAAGGTGACCATGGAGCAACCATAACAGTCTTAGATTGCCTACCTCTAAACTTTGATCACATGAAAAGAAACTACACTTCTAATTCATTTATACTACTATTAAGCCATTGAATGTGATCCTATTTACACCAATTTTCAGATTAGCAAACATCTTGTAGATCTAAGATTTCATTAAAATTTAATTTAAAAGTAATTAGGGAAAATTTTCAACAGTATTTAAAAAATGTTTGAAAAAAATAGTATCTATGCATTCACAGAGACACACATGCATACACATACAGTATTTAAATATTGCTTACACAGTATTTAAATACTGCTTTTTATTTACTAAATTTAATTCCAAAAACCTTGGAATTTCCAATAAATTCCATCAAGACTACATGATTAGAATGTCATGCAATTTTCCTAGATAAACATTTCTATGACCTAGGTGAAGAGAAATTCATAAAAATCTCCGGTTCTGAGCCAAAGTAGAATAGATAATAATGGGATAAAGGTAGCAATAATGAAATAAGTTAATGTAGTGGTTATAAGAAGAAATGCAATTAATACACAGATGGAATAGGAGGAACAACCCATGTAATTAGAAACCAAAACCCATACTGGGACTAAATGGGGAGGGAGGATTGAACACATCCTGGAGAGGACACAAACAGAACACAAAACAATCTACTGCCACCACCAGTGCATCTCACCTGAATCCCACAATGGGACATTCTTTGCAGATGTTGCATTTGGCCTGATGTTTTGCAGTCTCAGCTGCTGCTACTCGATGCAGAACTGGTAGCCAAACCATGGACTGTGGTTCCAAACGCATCCAATCTATAAACTCTTTCACACTTATCTCTGGCTTGTTGTTATTCTGGTAAAGAAACAAATATATTAAAAGTGAAGAACATTTCATTTAAACTGAAGCAAGTGTTGTTGCTTCATAACCTTCTGGATATCTATGCAGAATTAAGAGAAAAGTTAATGTAAATCTTTCCAGGCCAGCAAAGTCACAAATGTATTAAGGTTCTTCAAGACAAGAAAATTCCAGAATTTAAAAACAGAAGAAGCAGAAATTATTATATAGTAAGAAGAAAAAATTTCCCAATATCTTACTCAGATTTTGAAAAACCAAAGCCATGCAATTTTAGGTAATTATTTCAAATAAATACTTTAATTCTATAAAACTTATTTATCTTAGACAATGTTATGGTGTGGGTCAAAAAAGTCCCTCAAAAGATTCAGAGGTGGGGATTTTGGAACATGATTAGATTATGGGATATTAACCTCATCCATGGATTAATCTATTGATGAGTTCACAGCTGAATGTGCTATATGAACATGGGCCCGAATGGAGGCAGGTGGTCACTGGGGTGTAACCTGGAAGGGTAAAACAATGTCCGCAGTCCCTTCCTCTGTCTTTGGCTCTTTTCCTATACTCCACTTCCTGGCTGTCATAAGGTGAGCAATTTCTTCCACCATGCCATTCTGCCATGCTGTTTCTGTTTTGGAGCCAGCTGACCATGGACTGAGGCCTCTGAAATGCTGAGCCAAAAATAAACCGTTTTTCTTTCAATTTGTGTATGCTAGGCACTTTGTCCCAGCAACAAAAAGCTGTCTAAAAACAAAAATGTAAGAATTTGTGGAGAAAACACTACCGACAACCTCACAAACTTGAAGGTCATTAGATATGCTAAATGTGTCCTGATATAGTCTTGTCAAATCGTCACAGTGGAAGCATATTGCTACAAATGCATTTTGTGAGATTTCCAAGTTTGTCATGATAAATTGTATAAAATTTCTTAGTCCCTCTTCAAATCCCAATATTAAGGAATATTTATATGTGCAAAGTTAAATTTCACTGACATCATCTCCTGCTGTTGTTGAGGTCATTCTACGAATCCACATGTGATTGTAAAACATGTTTAGAAAAATCATTTGGTTTTTTTATTTGTAAAATAAGAGAAGGGGCCATTATAAAATGTAACAACCCATGACATTGATTTTCCTAAAAGAGAGAGTATTAGTCTTGTTTTTTTCTCAGTGGTGATAAATCATTGGCTGTATATTGACAAAATATCTGTGAGATTGTACTTTGTGCACATGTATGACATCAGTAACATTTCTAAAGTGTCTTTATACAGAGTGAGCGTTACAAAGAAACACAAGTGCTTTCTCAGTTGAAAATTAGTAATTTGATCAATATAAAACTCAGCCCTTCATTTTCCATTTGTATATATGTTCTCAAAGAAGAGAATATATTTAATATTTAATAATATCTTTAAAATTTTATATTTAAAAAAATCTTGTCTAGAAAGAACTTAGGGACACTTTATTCACCTATTATGTTCAAAGAATTATGAACAAGGATATGTGACAGTCTGAGTGTTTAATATCCCTCTGAACTGATGTGCTGACAACTAACTCCCAAGGGGATAGCATGGGGAAGTGTGGCCTTTTGTCCATTATTAGATCATGATAGTGAAAGCCTCAGATATGGGATTAGTGCCCTTTTAAAAGAGGCCCAAGCAAGCTCACTTACACCTTTCATCATGTGAGGGTACACTAGGGAAATGCTATTTATAAACCAAGAAGCAGGTCTTCACGAGATACTAAATCTTTATCTTGATATCAGCACCTTTATCTTGGTCTTCCCAACCTCCAAATTGAGAAGTAAATTTCTGTTATTTATAAGCCAACCAGTTCATGGCATTTTGCTATAGCAGCTTGAGCACACTAAGACAGGATATAACAGTAAAAGGCAGACACAGTTCTTATCTTCATGGATCTTGGGTACATATGGAAAAGGCAAGCACTAATGACTGCTGGTACTGTTCCGAACAAAGTTGTAGCTCTAATGAGCATGAGAAGGAAGAGGTAGACAATGGTAAGGTGAACACGGTGGGGAAACATACTTGCGGAGGGCCGAGAAAGGTTTTCAGAAGATTTGAAAATTAAGCTGTCATTGCAAGGCTGAATGGGATGAGTGAGAAGGGAGCTCATCTGCAGAAGAGTCGACAAGCATTCTAAACAGAGGGCAGTGCCCAAGGGCACTGAGGCAGGGATGAAGGAACTACACCCATATGGACAGAAAGCAGAGAGCAAGGGACAAGTGGCGTGATGAGGGCAGGGCAAAGGAGGGGCCAAGCAGGTGATCCACTTTCCACGGTGTCACACACACGAAGCAGTATCTTTGCCGGCATCACTATTCTTTGAATCAAATGTTCCTTCAGAAATAAACTTACTGGGATGATTCTCAGAGTCTCTCACCATTTGGCTGCACTGTAGGCTCCTACTTGGAGTTCTCAGAACACCCTCAAAACCCCACCCCAACCCACCCTCTACATCAGCGACCCTTCTGTTTACCTGCTGGAAGCAGCTGCGGACACTCGGCTCAATGTTACTGCCTCCAAAAGCTGCCACTTCCCCCAGCTGCCGAGGAATCTGGATGGCATCATGGAGTAACAGGCCGAGCTGCCTCTGGTCACACATCTCCGTAGGCCCCGCCACCTCATTAAAGAGATCTACAAGAGGGACAGGCAAGAGGGAAATTTCTACCTGCCCAAAGCATGCTTTTACTTCAAGGATGTGGACTGAACTATGTAGACTAAAACAAAAGAATTTCACAGAAAACCCAAGGCACAAATAAATTAAAGCGCAAAATAAAAGACAGGTACTAGAAAACAGGGAAATAGGCCTTTTGCAAGTGGAAAGGGAACAGAGACATGGACGGAGTGGGGAGGGGAGAGGAAGCAAAAAGAATGAAGATGTGTCATGTGTGTGTACCAACTCCCCATGATGGATGTACTGATTATGTTCTGAAAACATACTAATAAAAATAAAAAAATTTTTAAAGGAAAAAATAAATTCAGGGGAATGTGAGTCTAATTAGTTTTTCTGAATCGTGATGAGCTTAATTCTGTGTGTCTTTAGTAGGGAACTTATTAATCACATGCCTCTTAAAATCATGTATGCCAATGCTGGGGATTTAGCTCAGTGGTTCTGATGCCTGCCTCGCAAGCACAAGGTCCCGAGTTCAATTCCCAGTACCAAAAAGAAAAAAAAATAATGTATGTCAAAACACATAAATTGATCAACCAATACAAATTTCTCTTTTAAAAAGTGCAAGAAATGTATATGAGTTAATTTTATGATCTCAATAAGGGTTTCCAGTGGGAAGCAGAATGAGCCTAAACAAAGCTTCCCTCCTGACTTATCAAAGAAATAAATGTGTCTTAAATAGCAAACCTTTACATTTCCATGATTTGCTTACCAACTTCTTGTGTTCACTCCCAAATTCAATATTCTATTAAATATATATTTTAGCTTCTTTTAAAGATTTCTATGCCTAAATCAATTTTATATAGGAAACACTAAAAAGTATAAGATGTACTTTCCCTCCTTAGCACCAGTCTCTCATTCCTTACTAAGTGTAAAAATTAATTTTGTTTTACTTCACATAATGAAACACATTTTTCAAATTTAAAGACTTAAAAATTTCTGCATCTTTTCACTTTCTTGATCTTTTCCATTCATTAACAAAAACAACAACACCGTTCAATCCCGGGTACAAAAAAAAAGAACACTGATCCATTTTCTAACCTTTTTAAAAAAATAAAATTAAAATTTCCTTCCAGCATTGGCTAATCTATTCACTACTGCAGTGTTTTAAGGATTAAAATTATTACAGTATTCCCCAAAGTAAAACTAACATACTAAGACGTTTCTTCTGGAAGGGAAAAATTTCAAATGAAATGTCTTCATTATAGAAATTAAAAGAATTTTCAAGTTCCAAAAATTCATAAGCATTCTAAATCTAAATGTTCTTCATGAGCGCTCACTTTGGCAGCACATATATTAAATGTTCTTCATGAGATACTTTCCCAGAATATAAGAAAGGGAAGTGACTATGGATTCTAAAAAATTACTTTCAAATAATGGCTAATAAATTATCAGATCAAAATGCATAATTGTCTTACAGGAGAATGATGGTAGGTCTAACATTGTCAGTAGTGAATTTTCAAATAGCTGAACCAAACTGAGTGTTATTGACATGGTAATTAGAATGCAATATGACTTTAATTATAAGCATGCATAGGAAAAGCAAATTCAATTAAGATAAATTTAATTTTATTATCATTTTTTCTCTGAGATTTGCTTAAAGCTCCACTTGTTTCTTTTCATTACTTAAAAATAAGACTACCACACCAAAATATTATTCTAAGATTTTATGATGCTTAATTTAAACCTGTTTCTAGGAGGAGATTTATTCAGTAAATTCAGAGTTGATGCATATTTACAGTAGTCTTTACAGAGAGGCAGACATTTTCAGCAATAGCAGCTATGCCCATCTTTTACCACTATGGCAAAATGCTTTTAAACATTGTGATAGACTTCTAAGTTCTTATAAAAGTTCCCAATTTTAACATTACAGTCAGATACTAATAGCAGTGTCAGGATGTGGAATGATGGGTCATGAGAAGAAAGTCACAATCTAAAACCCAAATCCCAATAAATGAGGACAGAAGAGATGTAAGTGGTCATTGAAAAGGATACTTTGTAGGTGTGCTTTTGGCGTGGCCAGGAAGCAACTCTGCTCTAAGCAGGGGGAAGGCAAATGGACTGTGGGAACTCAATCCAGAGATATTCTCTGGAAGGCACCAGCAAGGGGAGAGGTGAGATGGGGAAAGACATTGACTTTGGCCAGTACAAAACATTGATTCCAATGGATAGCAACTGATCTCAAATGGCACCTCTACCACAGAGCTGGAAGAGCACATGATCTTGAATGTTAATTCTAACAAAATAATAATGAAGAAATATTCTTACATCACTAGGGAAATCACAAGAAGAATCAGATTTGCTAAGAACTTCAATGAAAAAGAAAAAAACAAAACCTCACAACATTTCCAGTCTTGACATCCCAGTTATTAAGATGGTAGCCCAAGAGATTTCTTACTTAATTAAACCTTAAAATGGCACACATACATCATGGATTAAATTAAATAGAGATTTTCATTGCAGGGGCTTTTGCTCACCCTGCCAAAATCTGAATATTTGATGCTGAATTACAGCAAATGTAAGCTTTGAGCTTGAATTTGCATTCTTCAGAGCACGTTCAGCACCATGATGTAATTATTTCTTTAGAGAACCCTAATTCTTTCAGGAGCACATGCGAATCCCAAATCATAGATAACAAAAAAAAAAACTTTTTCTATTTTTGGAACATTGATGCTTTCATTAACATGTTGTTTTTTCCTCAATCATTGTAGAAATAATTGCTTTTTAGCTTTGGAAATTATACCTTTTCATGATTATGATGCTGATAAAATGCCACAAGACAAAAGCTTTATATAAAGGTTTTTTTGTACTGCTTCCTAGGGTATCACTCCAACAATGTTTCTCACTTCTGGATCCTACAATCAGCTTTCCTTTTTACATAAATCTGTATCTCTTTTCACTGACATGCTCCTCAAACTACAGATGAAAAACAAACTGTCTTCTAAACCTCAAATTCAAAATCTAATAGACTCTCTATTTTCAGGGATCCCAGAAAATAAAAGTTTTTAAAAATATATGTATTCCCATTAGATATAAGATGTAGCTATGATTTTAAGGCCTACAGTCAAATACTCTCATTTGCTGTTGTTATTCCGATTGGTTTTTTTGGGGGTTTGGTTTTGGGATTTTGTCTGTCTGTTTTCTTGGTGGTGGGTATAGAATCCAGGGCTTTGTGCATACCATCTATCGCTGCTTTATTACTGACCTACACCTCCAGCCCCTCCTCTTGTTTCTGGATATCTCTCCATTCATGAAACACCCCTGACTCTATCTTCCCAAATGCATACTTTTATCTGTATAGAATACACAAGACAGGATCAAGTTGCTCACACTTTACAGAAAAAAATTAAATCTTTTTTTTTTCCTTTGGTACCAGGGATTGAACTCGGGTTCTTGCGCTTGCACAGCAGGTGGTGAAACCACTGAGCTAAATCCCTGGCCCTAGAAAAAATTAAATCAAAAGAGTTAGTAGTTAAAAACTTGGACACACCACAGCAAGCGCTACTATTTGTAGGAAATTTTAATATGTACTATTTCTAATTCCTTTCCAAGCAGGAATTATTGGCTTTACTTTTGAGTTGAATTAAATTCATTAAATTTGAACTTCCTGAACTGTAAGACAGGTGTGATGCTACCTCTTGGCTGCTACCTCTTCAAAGGGATGGAGTAACCTGCCCAACGATTAGATTCAGAGTGCTATGCCCTTTCCAATGTCAAGCTTTCATTAACTGACAGCTAAAGGGACATTGCTGATTTATTTGGTGACTATAAACATTTTATTTTGTTGCAACTAGACAATATAATTATTTAAAAATATTATTTGATTATGTCCATAAAGGTTCTAGCCCATCTTAACTTTTATTTTTTTTAAACCCTGGACATATATGGTTGAAAAAAGTTGACCTTTGGAGTCAGAAAAATCTAGGATCTAGTTCTACAACTTGCTGGGCTCTGGAGCCTTGGACTAGATTTTTAACCTATTTCCGTATTATTTTTTTCAACTGGAAAATGGAAATCATTTTGCCTACATTTTATGGAGATTATTCTAAAAAATTAAATGAGATGAAAAATTTCTATTTGGTTTTCACTCAACCAAAGCATTACATCTTGTGGCAGTATAATCAGCTTTCCTTTTTTGGGGGAGGGGGTACCAGGGATCAAACTCGGGTCCCTGTGCTTGCACAGCAGGCAGCGAAACCACTGAGCTAAATCCCCAGCCCCAGTTAATTTTTTTTTTGGTACCGGGGATCGAACTTGGGACCTCGTGCTTGCAAGGCAGGCGGCGGCACCACTGAGCTAAATCCCCGGCCCTAATCAGCTTTTCATTTCACAAAAATCCAAACCTCTCTGCACTGTCGCCTTTTGTCCAACCTGGTACATTCACAGTAAGGACTTAAAAAATGGGAACCACTATTACTAGAAAATCATATAAAGAATGTTTCTCAGTCAATTGCTACAAGTAATATTACTAAAAACATGATATATGAAACGTCTTACATACATCTGTATTTTTCTTCTAAGAGACCTTTAGAGAGGGACGTCAATCCAATCTTCAGACTCTGCACTCTAATTTTTCCAGTCCGACCCCTGAAATGATCAGAATCTCAATGTGTTACATGCATTTTTAACTGTATGAAATATGCTAATTCTTCCCAAGAATCTATTTTTTGAGAGTAAATTATTAAAAAAAGTTGTCTTAAACATGTTTTCTATTCACTTTTTAAAATTAATATTAAAATACCAAAACTTCATCACATATTCTAAGTGGTTCGATCAACTCTGGAGAAATATATAACTTGCTGTCACTTTACACACAACACAGAAATGAAGGAGAATGAATGAAAGGAAAACTGAAAATAGTTACTATAAAGTTAAAAAGATCTCATTATGAATTAAAATTTGTTAATAGTTATAAATGCAAGAATCAAACTAAATGGCTAAAGCAACCAAAATATCATGTAACAATGCAGCAAGAAAGGGTTATGTTACTGATACATCCAAAAACAAACATAAGGAAACTGACTAGGAAATTAAGTATATACTGAAGACTTTGAACCTGATGAATACTTAGAAATTTATTGTGTTCATATACTTTGGTTTCTGTCAATGCAGTCTTTATAAATTGCTGTGACAATTTTAATAGTTCTTAAATAGGTGTGATGTCAGCATTTGGGAAAATATCAAACTATATGTAAAAACAGAATAAATGAATGAATAAATGCTATTAAATAGTTTCACTCTATGCCAGTAAGACACTATTTACCTTCACTTATAAGTCAATTACAAGAAAAATTTTATTTTGTCTGTAAAAATGGAAAGCTGTCTTTATTCCAATGCTTATCAAAGAATTAGTAAGTTGTCTACCAAATGTTGGCCACAGTATTAATTCCATAAATGGGAAAAAGAACCAAAAAATTAATAAGACATGATCCTTCCCATGGCATAACACACTCCTGAAAAAAGTCTTTATTGCTATCTTTATTATTTCAGATTTGAGGTCAGTTTTTAGTTTAGGTTTTTGTTATTAATTTTTTAAGTGTTTAATGTAAAAGTACAGTATACTTAAAATCCATAACCAAATATTTACATGATATATAAATAAATAAGATTTAGTAATTCATACTATTATAAAAATTTTATGACATAACTATAATTCTTAGTAGTCTTATTGTCAAATTATATTTAAATCTTTATCCTCCTAGGATTTTTTACAGTAATGCTAATATTCATGCACACAAATTATACTCAAATAACTTTCTGTATACATTCCATGCCATATACAGTGTAGGATAAACTTAAAAAGTAAGCATGCTAGGAGATTGGTGAAATATCAAAATAGTCCCTCAACAGCACAGGATTTATAATTACAATAAATCACATCAAACAACTTATTGAACTCTTACAATGTACATGCACAATATTCAGAATTGACTTATGAGACAATACTTAAATATAGCAGAATTTCTAGATTAAAATAATGATTCCCAGTTTGTCACAATGAAAGCAATGCCAGTTTCAAATTAACCCTTAACTGAGCTAAGCTATAAATTGCATTTCTACTTAGTATTTTTCAGGAGTTTCCTAATTATAACATGAAATAGACAATGTCTGTTTTCTTCCTTTAAAATCAGTTTTCATTTTCTGACTACAAACAACAGACCTGTAGAAAATAACAAAAGTCTGTTGAATATCTGAGACTAGTACATGAATGTGCCTAAGAACAAAACAATCCCTTAAGGGAAAAAGGATCAAAATGATACACATTAGAGCGTGACCTCTAGTCCATCTTGACAACACAAGACAGAAACATCATCAGAAAGACAATTGAAAATGTCAATCATCCCTTCATCCACCATGAACAGTTGTAAAGGTTTACTGTGATTCCAGCATTGCTTTATGTACTGTAGGGACCAAGGAAAAAAAAAAGACACAGTTCTTACCCAAGATAAGATCATTAACTAGTTGGGGAGGTAAGACAAAAGAACTAGAGAAAACATAAGATCAACCTTTATACATGGAAATAAAGAACCAAGAACAAGATCATTGTGACTGAGCAGTCATTAGGGATTAGTGTAAACAGTCATCAGTTTCAAAGCATTTGCTAGAAAAGATAGGTCTAAAATCAGACATGTAATGACCCGCTTCCTCAACTACAGGGTGTGTGACAGGGAAAGCCTGAGCAAGGGGCCAGAGGCAGGGTGGGAGCATCAGTCACAACGCAATTAGATTAAAGTGAGGCCACAGGACCGAGAGTTCTGATGGCAAAAATGATCAGGATGCTATGTATAAATGTAACAGTTCCTCGGGATGAATGTAATTAGCCTGTGTCATGAACATACACTAAGAAAAAGATATTTAGATTTGAGAGACAATAGGGAGCCAATAAAATTTAGGAGTAAATGACATAGCCCAGTATTTAAGTATTTGGTTCCCCTGATAGTTTTCATAAGTAACTCCTGAAATTAGTTGAACTGGAAAAATAAGGACCTTTAAAACTATACCCACGCTGGAGTACTGGAAAAATAAATTAACACTGCGACAGATGAGGCTAATATTCTCCACAGATAAAAAACAATATTTAAACTAATTGTTCCAGACTATTCCTTTAAACCATGATTTAAATGCTTCTGGTTTCCATTAAATCCAGAAGGAAGATTGGGAAATAAGACTTTTTAACCTGGGAAGATGAAGAGCGAGTAGGGCTACAAATTCATAAATGAGCTCAATTTTATCTTACAGCTTATAAAGACCACTTTACATACATTAGTTCATTTGCCCTTCACAATCACCTTTTGTGTGCTAAGCTGAGCAGATATTTTTATCTCAAATTTTCAGATGAGAAATTGAGATGATAAAGTTAAGTGGCTGCAGTCACATAGCAATGAGAACCAGAAATCTAAATTCTTATCATCTGCAATAGATAAAAATGGATTCTTCTTTCAAAATTCTGAATATTAGGACAAATTAGATATATATAAAAACTTCTAAGAGACAGTTTACTTAAAATAATTTTTTCTAGATATGGGGAGTATGGTAAGAATAACCAAGTGATTTCCAAAAATATTTGAATATTAGGCCCATAACTTTCATATGTGATAAGTAGCTGGGAATAAAATGGCCTTATCTCTCTACTAGTTTTTCAACCAGTAAAATACAGAGATCCCTAAAGTCCTTCTACTTAGGGAATTTTATGGTCTACTATGTTTGCATCACTCATTATTTCAAGAGCTAGTTGCAGTTGACAATGCTTATCAAGGTTGCATTGTACTACACAAAATAAGGCAGTCAAAACGTAGGATTAATGCTTTAGTTTGAATCTGGACTTTTGCTCAAAAGTCTGTGTTCAAAGCTGATGCCACGCTAGCAAGAGGTCTCTTGAGTCTTGGGTGCGTGCCCTCACAGAAGAATGTGGAACCTGCTCTCTGTTTTCTCTCTTCCACTTCCTGGCTGTGGGGCGAGTGGTTTTGCCCTGCCACCATGATGTGCCACTTCACCCACTGCAATGGGGTCAAACTGATCATGGGCTGAAACCTCCAGAGCTGTGAGTTAGAATGAACCTTTTCTTCGGTAAGTTTGGTTATTTTAGGTACTTGTTATCGTGATAGAAAGCTGAGTACATAACTAATGAACGAATGTTAGAGCAGCTGAACGAAGTTATTATCTCTAAGGTTCATAGATCTCTCAAGGGTCTATAATGCCCTGGTACATTAGGAAAAAAAGATCACAGATCCCATCAGATTCTCAAAGAGAACTATGGCTTGCAAAACCTCGGTAACTATTGTTGAGGTAAATGAGTAAGTCATAGTAGAGAAACTTAAACAATCAACTCTGGACATCTGTGTTACCACATTAAGAGTAACTATGCTTTTTTCTTAAGTTATTCCATGAGACTTCTCTCAAAGATAGAAAGCTAGACTGAGTAGGCATCATTCTGACTCATCAGGGTCTCTGTTGTATTTCTTTGCATGAAAGGAAGCTAAGTCCAACAGGCTTTCTTTCCCTTTAAAATGGGAAATGAGGAATTTTGATATTGTCTTTCTAAATAAAAACAAGTACTTCAGTGTAGCGTTTTCATGTGCTCATATTTGATGGTGGGAAGTGGAACTGTGCCAACATTAACCCACTAGAATATGAATCACAACATTTCACACATCGGTTCCTTCTTGACTAAGTGCCACTATTTCCTTGGGCTGTCCAGTGACAACAGCATATGTTTGTGTTGTGAGCTGAACTGCGTTCCTCTAAAATTCATGTGTTGAAATCTTAACTCCTCGTACTGCAGAAAGTGACTGTATTAAGAGACAGGGTCTTTAAAATATAATTAAGTTAGAATGAAGTCAGTAGAGTGGGCTCTAATCCAAAATGACTAGCATCCTTATAGGAAGAGGAAATGAACAAACAGACAACACAGAAGAAAGACCATGTGTACACCCAAAGGAAAGGCAGCCAAAGAGAGAGAAGCCTCAGAAAGAAAAAGCAATGGTGTTGATGCCTTGATCTCAGACTTTATCCTACAGCACGGTCAGGATACACACTATGTCATTTGTTGTTTGTCAGTGTCGTTTAAGCCCACTTTGTTGTGGCAACCCTAGAAAACTAACACAATGTGTCAGAGCCACAGAGGATGCTGAGGCAAAGTATTTTAATTTCTTTTGCAGTTCTTCCTTAAAATATGCCATAGAGTTGAATAAAGTTTCTATTAGTCTATGAATTTAGCAATAAGCATTTGCACTTAAAATGCTTAATTGACTAGCTAGTTTGGTAAATTTACCTCAGAAAAATGTCTCCTTTGAGGTTTTAAAAAAGAGGAAATTAATGATGGGTTAATGCTAATAGTAGTATTTTATTCTAGAATAAAAATCTGTATTAAAATGAAATGCATGAAAAGATATCCAATAGAGATGTAGTAAATCCCATATTCATTACTGTAACAAAGATTCATGCTTCAGTGAGTTTCTTAAGTGCCCTCCAGTACACAATGGCTATTTTATTATTTTTAAAAAGATTCCATAATATTTGTAAACATTGTAAGAGAAAAAAGTTTTCTAATGCCAAAGTAAAATTTTAGATAAATCATCTCTAAAGCTCTCATCATTTATTTCTTACATGGAATCAGTCAGCTGCTAAATAGGTTTGCATTCATGCACTACCATCTATCTTCTTCCTCTTTAAAGCAAAGGCTGATACATACAAATTTCATATACTGTAGCTCGTTAAAAGAAAAACAATTTAGATTCTGAGAGAAAAAAACAGTCCTAATTTTCTTATTGCATTTTTGCATACTTTAAAACCCTACCAGAAGAATGAATAATTCCTAATGTTTCAGAAATGTCAGCCCACAGCAAGTCTTCCTAGAACTGATTAGTTCACAAATAGATTGTTATAATCGTAAAGGCCAAATTAATGGCAGATGAGTTATGCTGGAAGTTGAGAGTGCTCTTTATTGTAACAGTGAGCACCTAATTATATTACAAATATGAGAATGTCCTGTAGCATACATTATTTAAAATACCATCTGAACACATTAACCATCATGGCAATAAATATAGTTACTACCTAAAGACAAATTAAATCCCATTCACTGCCATTCAAATTGCTCTTAATCTGTTACACAAAGATTGAAGAGCACAATATTATGAGCTAATAAACTACTTTAACTCATAATGATATACAAAACTTTTCTTTTTGAAAAAAAAAAATAGTGTAAGACATCAAGGAATAAGGGGAAGGAAATAAGACACAGCTGTATTAGGTTTCTCTAGCTTCTTGACAAATATATAAATTTGAAAGCTTTTGTAAATTGAAGCAAATCCTTAAAATAATAGTTGCATATTCTTTTTTCTTCTATTGTTGTGAAGAGTTCATATGGTTTGGAAAGTCATTTATTTTCAACAATTCAGTATTCCCACTGGGAAAAGCATGTTGTAAACAATTCACTTCAAAAAGCTAAGTATTTTCTATTACTAACATATTTTATTCAATGCTTATAAATTAATGGGAAAAATACAAACTTACGTATCATACACATTGAGCAGCCAGTTGAGACACATGTCCACACAGAGTGGGACGTTGACCAGGTCCTTGTGCATTTGCTCGAGCCCGTCGTAAGTGGTTGTCAGGCAGTTGATGACATCTGGGACACTTAGCAGCTGGTCATTTTGGTTCAGCTTGTGCTGTTTGAAAACTTCATTTGTTGTATTCAACTCTAAGAGATCCACTAATCAGGTGAGAAAAAGGATTATGAGCAGTCAGTGAATAGCACAGCCACAGGGAAACAAAGCATTTCTAGTCTCAAGAGCTTGGCTTGATTTCCCAAATTAAAAGAAAAAATTGTCCTTTTCAGTTAAATTATCCTTTCCCTTCTTTTATATTTTTTCTTAATTTTTAAATTTTCTATTCCCTATATACTTTTAACTGATACATAACATGAATATATATATATATATATATATATATAAATGCACATGGGCTACCACATGATATTTTGGTACAGTATAAAATGCATGTTTGAGTCAGGTTAAACACATCTATCATCTCAAACATTGATTATTTCTTTACAGTGAAAGCATTCATAGTCCTTCCCTGTAGCTTTTTGAAATGTGCAATGCATTATTGTTTTCTATAGTCACCCTAGTGTGCAACAGCACACTGGAGCTTCTTGCTTCGAAGTAACATAACATAGTACCCCTGGCCAACTATACTTCATATCCCTGCAAAGTAATCATCTGTAAACAGAGCTTTGTAACATGCACATAATGACATACAAAGTTCACTGAACGATGTTCAGCAAAGGAAACAGGTTCGATAGAAATATAGTACTTCTAAATTGCCACCTAGGTCAACCTGATCAATAAAGCTGTCACGAACTGGCCCACATCTGGTTTGCTTCTCATGCGACTGGCATACACATAGCTCCTCATGACACACAGCTAACGAGGGTGCCTAGACACTCACAGGACATTGGTCTTCACTTACTTATCTGCTCCAATCTTTCCTCCTCATGTGTAAAACATCTACAGTGAGCCCTGTACTGCTAGAGCATGTAGGGTGTGCACAGAGCCTGTGCTCAAAGACATCCTGAAAACTCTACTAAAAGGAAGAGTAAAAGTGTCCTAAGAGAAAAAGCACAAATCTCTCTGAGAACTGATACAGGATGAATATCCCTTGTTGAAGATGCATAGCACCAGATATGTTTTAGATTTGAAAATTTTTCCTATTTTGGAATATTTGCATATATGTGATGTGAGCTCAAGTCTAAACACAAATTTTTTATGTTTCACATATACCTTGCAGCCTGAAAGTAATTTTGACTGTGACGTACCACAAAAGATCAACATGGCATTTTCCACTTGGGCTGTCATGTCAATGCTTACAAAGTTTGAAGTTTGGGGGCATTTGGATTTTGGATTATCGGATTAGGAATGCTCAGTGGGAAAATGACTGGAGAAGCCTCCCCAAGGAGATAGCATTTGAAGTGGACACTGAAAATTAGATAAGATACAAGGGATACATGGGAAGCAGCTTGAGAAGAGACAAAAATCTAAGCAAGTGCAGGAGGCCTGTGGAATGTGCAGTGCAGAGCACACTGTGTACACACGTGGTTACACAGGGCAGATACACAGGGCTCCCAGGGCAGGCATGCACTGTCTCAGGGAAACACGCAAAGCCCACAAGGAGCTCACACATGCATACACAAAATCTTTCGTTGCTGGTTTTTGAAAATCAACTCTGAGTTGTTCATTAGCTAACTGAAAACAAGGAAACGAAGCGGGTTATCAAACTGCAATGTATCTATACATTTATTGAGTGTGGAAATGACCCTTCCAAATCTAAACGTAACAGGAACCAAATGTTAGAGAAGCCACACTAATGTAAGGAAAAACTGTTCTCAATCTCCATACTTCACATTTTACCATTAAAAAAAAAATACCAGTGGAGCTGACAATATATAACTACTTATTTGGCTGATGCAAAAACCACTCCCCCCAAAAATGTGACATATTTTGACATTTATCTAAAATGAACACATGGCTTCCTTTGAATTTTTTTCCTATCAACCAAATAACCACTAATTTTGAATTTTTAAGGACATTTTTGAAACGTGTCCATGCTAGCTGCTGAGAGAGCACAGAATTACTGTTTTCAAGTTATCTACAATAGAAAAGAACTGTTATAAAATTATACAGATTAAACTGATTTATGAAACAGCTCAAAAGGAAGAAATTTTTTTTAAAGAAAAGACAGAAATTTGAACATGTAACAAGCAAATCTGGGTAACAGGGTAATTAATTTCCTTCAGGTGTCAAATATGTTACTGGTAAACCCAAGCAGGTAATAAAAATAACTTGCACAAGCTTCACATGAGTTAGAGACAATGACAGAAGAAGCTAAGAGTCATCTGCAATTTTCATTGTCATTTTTAGCCCATTTCTTGGCACTGGACATTGTTTTCAATTATAAAGTTCTGGATAGCAGTAGGAAAACTTATCCTCCACTGTGCTCGACACAGGGAAATATTTAATAAAGGACAGTAGCTACAGAACTACAATTCCCCACAGATACAAAGAAACATATTCAAATACTGCCAAAATGGTCTAAGTTTTCTGAATTCCAGCGCTAATTATTCCAGCATCACAGCTCTGCTATTGGATCCCTGCGTGGCATAAAGTGACATAGCCCAAGTTTCAAAAAGACCATTGCCTGAATCCGGCTGTCCTTCACTTCTTTTGGGAAAGTTCCCCTTGTACAGTCTGTAACTGTGACAGTAATTTGCCACGTCCTACAGACTATCGCATCTTCAATTTTCAGTGATTTACTCTGACAGTGCCTCAGTGCCTAAGCCAACCATGGATCTTCCTGAAGTGTCACATTCAGGTACCTGTAAGGAACTGAGTGCACTTAAATGACAGAAAATTATGATTTTCTCTTTTCGAGGGGAGACAAATGACAGCTCAGTCATGCGGTAAATGAAACAAACAGCAGAATCATTTTCTAAGCAACTTTCAGGCTTTTTCTGAATCCCACATATGAGGCACAGGGGATCAAATGGAAATGCATCATCATCCTCCTGTCCTGCCAAAAACGAACACTCTTTACCACCTGACCTTGGACTCAGCACGCTACCTCCTTCATCTATCTCCAGTGCACCAAAACATAGGCAGTGCTCAAGGTTTCATATTTGGCCCTGTGCTCACTAAGCCTGATGCCTTTCCTCACACTATGACTTCCATTATGACTTCTCCCTGAATGAAACCAGATTCCACTTCCTCCTTTTCTCATGCCTGAATAGCAGGTGCACATTCCTGTTCCTCAGTTCCCTAGAGATGTATCATTTTCTTTTAGGATCCTCTCCCTTATTATGTCTCAACTAAAAGTCCTGCCTTCCCTTTACCCAGTCTGCAAATCTCTAGATTTCCTTTTTCTCCCCTACTATCACTAGCCAGCTCAACTCCGATCATCTTCCATCTGAAGCATCTACTCATCCTCTGTTCCTCCCCTCCAGCCTGTCTTAGATATTACCCAAAGTGTGTATCCTCCTCTCGGCCCTATTACCAAACCACACAAAACAGGAAATAGTTGTAAAGCTATCCTCTCTATCCAAGCATTAAATACAACACTATGAGAGCTGCAGGAACAAACTAAAGGAACCAGAAAAGATCTCAGGACAGACATGACCTTCAAACTGACCAAAGCCAAATTTAAGAAAATTTCTGGATATTGGAAAAATAGCTAAAGCACTCCATTCAGACTCCATTACTTGATGCTCTGCTGACTAATAGCTCAATTCTGTGTGGCTTTATGTCCTATAACTCCAGGAAACTGGCCTTCATTGTGAAGGGACAAAACTACCTTTTGCTTCTCTGCTGTCACCTATCACAAAAAGTTCTTTAAAAAAATATATATAACATACATATAAGAATATACATATACACATATATTTTTTTTCTTCAAGTCATATATATATGGTTTGAAGAAAAATAGTAGAGAAAAACTTCTTAATCCATCAAACAGTGTCTTACCTACTTCTTTTCTCATTACTGAGACAAAATACCCAACACTAAAAGTGGAGGAAAGCTTTGTTTTGGCTCACAATTTGTAGAGATTTCAGTTCATAGTTGGCTGGCTCCAAGGCAGAGGGCCATGGCAAAGGTGCATCACAGAGGAGAAACAGTTCATGACAGGGAGAAGGCAGCAAAAGCAGCAAGCAGTAAGTGACAAGGGATGACTCTCTTTCTGTCACTTATGTACTATCCAGGCCACCCACCCTTAGGGTGGCTGGCACTGACACCTAGGGTGGGGCAGCCTTAATCCTAGCATCGCACCTTGAATCAATACAGGATCACATTCTTGATCCCAGCATCACACACTCTAGATGCAAACAACTCCAAAGAGTGCCACCTATGACTGCATGAGGGTTTGGGGGGACATCTAAATGCAAACTATAATACACAGCTAAAGAAAAAGAATGCTACTCACATCACAGAAGACCCTTAGAAAATCCTCCTTAACTATGCTTCTTTACAATCACAACCATAACTGCTAAACTTTGTATTTCACTTTCAGTTCTTCAAAGTATATACATGTCCCTAAATAGTACAGCATTTAGGTCTGCATGTTTTGTACATGAATGGAAACAAAGCACTAATTTCTTCTGTCATTTGATTTTCTTCCTTCAACTTTATAGTTCTAATGTTCACCACATTATACTGATTGCTAGTTCATTTATCTTGCTGCTGTATCGTAACACACTTATGAATATGCCAAAAATCAAACAAATTTAACTATTAAAAAGTGCTACTGTAACACCTACTCATGTCTTCTGGTCTATTCATATATAACCTTCAAATTCAAATCATTTGCTCAGTATGTCCTGAGTTATATGAGATCCTAAGTGGGAAAAACACAGATTCATGCTTCTTATAATTCATTTTGGAGAGACAGACAATAAAAAACTACATAAATAGTGTACTAAAAATTCTGACACTAACACTGTGCCTTAGTACCAAGCATGATGTCAAGTGCCAGATTGGGGAAGTAGGAATCCGATGAGATGGAGAATCAGGATTGATCTACTCTGGAGGGAGAAGCCACAGAAAATCTCATTAAAACTTTGATGGCAGCCAGAGACCCAAAGGGAGCATGCACAGCAGCCACTGAGGAAGCCCAGGCACAGTGAGTGAGGAGCAGCGCTTTCCAAGGAGGAACTGAATATAGTATCTGCCTTTCAGGTCATCAGCTAGAACTGTGAGTGCCCAGAGCAGAGCCAGGTGAAGTAGGGAACAAGAGACATGGGCCAGGCAGGTCCCCTCCATTCCAAGGGCAATAGGAGTCTGCTGAAAGCAGGAGTGTGTGTCCACACACAGCATTCTCTCCCTGAATGTGAGTCCCTTGTGTGTGGGAACCGAGGCTCTGTACCTTGTTTTTTCTCCTGCACCATCTTGGGGGCTCAACTAATGAACATATGGTAGTAGAGCAGTGACAAAGCGCTCTCTCCTCAGGACAGTCAGCTGGGTGGGGATTTGCACCAAGTGAGAGCTGACCTTGACCTCAAGCACTTCTCAGGGGAGACAGCCCACTCCCCCGGCACACAAGCCAAGCATGTGTTGTTCAGGGGAGAAGACAGCATTACAGGCAATCAGAAAGTACTGGAAAAATTGGAGGCAGGTGGGAGCTTGTAAATGTTTCCAAAAGAGGTACACGTTTAATGGTATTTCAGAGGCATAAAGGGTTACAGACAGATGGGGAGAAAGGGTCAGGGCATTTCAAGTAAACAGAGATGTTAGGAGAGGAAGTAGCAGATTAATCACAAACAGGTGACTTGACAAGTGGAGGACAGGCCCCAGGCTGCAGTGCAGAGCAGACCAGCGGCCAGGGAAAGGCAGAGGCCAGGGGCTGTGAGGCTGTCCTCTGGAATATCCAAAATCCCACACAAGCCAGCACTTTCACGTAGGGCGTCACCAGATGTCCTTAAGTAAGAAGTTGGAGGAATCTCCCTTTGTTTCTTCTCAAGTCTGAGCATAAGGTGAAGGAAAGAGCCCTGTTTCTTCAGAACTCAGAAGAACCAACAGAAGAAATCACCAAATGCATAAATCTGTTTCTCCACCCAGAAGTATTCCTGGAAACAGGGACTATGCTCACAGTGATGCATCAGCAGAGCTCTCCTGGCAGAGTCATTTGTCCTCATGTTATAGCTCATCAGGTCTGGGAAGCCCTGCCAGACCTGTCAGCTGGATACTAGACATGCAGCTGACTCTCTCAAAACTGCTGTCACCATGGACCAGCTGGGTAGACGAAACACCCATCTTGTGTTTGTAATTTATTCCCTATTTTCTCCCTGCTCAATGTACCCCTCACCAGCCACAGTGTATTGGCTTCCATTTCTTGCACTGGTCATTCTGAAACACTTGCTGCAGCTACTAGAGCCCACTAATTATCTTTAAGGCTCTGTGGATCCAGAGTCAAGGACACCTCGTTCTTCCTTTCATTGTTTTATCTGCAAGTGCTTCTCAGCCCTTTAGACCTCTCTCCACGCAAAGGTTAAGTGTTTTTTAAATTATTATTGAAAGCTTTGCATTACTGTTTTTCTCTAGATGATTACACATATCTCTTTGCTCAACTTCCCTCATGCAGGCAGTTCAAAATTTAGAGCCAATTTCTATTGACTTTTAAGGGGCAAATTTTTCAACCCTAACATACCATTTTTCTAAGGGTAATTTTCAAAGCTTCACTAAGCTGCCTCGATGTACAATAACTTTTAATGAAATGTAGCAAGTAAGAATATTTAGAGCTTTTTAAATTACCCTATCTTAAAAGTATAGGCAAATGGCATTTTCCATATTAACTGACAAGGCCTATCTGTTCTTTGACTAAACTTAATGATTAACACTACAAGAACAAATAGAATCTAGAGAGCTTGAAGCTAGATCATTTCTATTATAAACATTCATATTTTTACTTACTTTTATGTTATTTACAGGAAGAAATAACCCTTTGGCAAAATGACTATCACAGAATATCACTCTGAACACACACACACTCTACAGGAAAAAATTCATTGGTTATACTAAATGTCTCAAGATACATTTAAAAGAACACAGAGCTTTTTCTCTAATTTGCTGAGCTGCCTGTTCACGTTTTAGATTAGAAATGTGATTGTTTAATGTTTCTTTGTTGTACGATTTTACTCAGGCAAACTGTTTGAAGCCCCATACCTGTAAATGGGTACAAAGTATGAAGAAGGCAATGGACTACTACTTGGATTTCTTGATTTAATCTTTTTAAATTAGGTAACAGCATAATGTTTGAGAAAGCTTTCGGTGTTACTCCCGTGTTTTGGTTAATTTTATTCTCTAACTGAAGTGGCATCTGTTCATTTATTTCACTACTGCATACTGATGGGCCAAATAATGAAGCATTTACAGAACCATAGCCAACTCCTTGCGAGGCATACACTGATAATCAGGTTAACTCCACAAATGCATCACTCTCTTCGTATAGCTTTGTCTTTAAAAAGAAAAAAGCATTCCAAAGAATAGAGTGATTAACTTTGGTAGAATAACTCACAGCATAGTGCTTTTTGTAGTCTTCGGATTTTGATCGCTGTGCGGTAGGCAGAGAAACGTACATTATTCAGGTCAGCTGAAATGGAAAAAGGAGTAATTTAAACAGCATGCTTATTTAACTTACACTGAATGCCAAGAATGTATTTGCTTACTTTGGATGATGGAAAAATACCGCGTCTGTCCTCAATAAAAAGCCTTCTCCTAATTTCACTACGTCTATTTTTGCAAATAATTAAATGATCATTAGCATCATGATGCGATACATTTCAAAGCAGTTCTATGAAGAAAATTCTAAGAATATTTCAAATAGGTGGCATGGCTCAAAACCCAAAGTATAGTGCTTTGGCATGCCGAGTTCTTTGACTTGCAGGACACTGGAAGGGGAAGGGCCTTAAAGCAAGGTCTTTCTGACTTTCTTCTGCCCTCCTGTCTCTTATTCCACTTTCTCCCCCAAATAAAGTCAAACAACCAGAATTCCTCTTCCTCAAAGCAAGCCACAGAAACTGGCACTGCTCTTCTCCAAAGCCAGCCATAAAATCTAGAAAGGACACTCTCTGACCTTCCCTTTTGTCCCTTGGAGACTATGTGACAGGCATCCTGAAGGCCACACAGAGAAGCTAAGCAGCACCTGGACAGAAAGACTTGCTCAGGTTCTCCTTCAGTCTAATACCATTAGATAAGACCCCTTTTGTCTAATCAGACTTTGACATGGCTGGCGATTCTTCATGGGACCTGTACAGAAAACTAGACCATTTCCCCCGGGGGTCTTTATTTCTCAAGACTCCCATGTTCCATAAAACTTTGATTAAGTTCATTGTCTGTTCTCTAGTTAACCTGTCATGCGTTGCAGGATAATTAGTTGTGACCCTTACAGTGGAGGAGGAATAGGACCATACTTTCTGCCCCTATGTAGGAAAAAGAAGATGAGGAAAAGAAGATACAACTGCTACTATGGCCAAATAGATTCCTTCTCTATTGCTAGCTAGAGGGGACTGTCCTCCTCCAGGGGCATTTTTCTCAAGGATAATTAGTTTTCTGTCAACCAAGCTGTTTATTGCACTGCTCATGAGGGTGGTCCTCTTCTGCCCTGTAGTCAATCTGGTTAAGATGATCAATATTACAATCTTGAAAACAATGCATATTGTAATTTCCTGTTCTGTGCCCTAACGACGGAGTATCAGAGACACTAGAGTCAGAAGAAAACTTTCAAAATTTGCCACCTCACTTTATGAACTACAGAAAGCATTGGTTTTCTTGTTTGTCTTCTGCAGCACCTTCTCTTACCCAAATAAAAGAGCATGCAGAAGAAATTCCAATGTTTAAGAGATTAAAAAAAAAACTATGTGCCTCTTGCTGAAATGGGAATGGGAGGCTTGAGTGCTGCTTCTCTCTCCCTAATTACCTGGAGAAAAACTAAAAAAATAATCCTGGAACAACCTGACAGAAGCAGGCTGAGCAATCAGCTGAAAGCAACTGTCTACTAGAAAGAAACGAGTAGGACCTTCATCTCAGAATGTTTTATTGTACATTTTATATACATTGTATATTACAATAAATTTAGCTTTTCATAACCTAAGCAAATGAAATTAAGTTAGCTAAACTGATTTACAAAATTCCTAAGTAAAAAAAGCTAAAAAAAAATTAAGGCAGTGGATTGAAGTTCCACAGCTATTACATATTTTTTTAAAAGCTGAAATTTAAGATGGCTCAATATGAAAGAGGTCAAACCTACAGTTCCATTCCTCCTGGTAAAAGAACTCCCTCGGCTCCCACTCCTCCAAACCACACATCCTCTTAAGAAGACAGGCAATACCTGCTTGCTGTGTTGCCCTTGGGAGAGTCAATGCCATTCAATGGTAATGATGTCAGTCTTCAATGTACAATGTCATGTAAGAAAAGCTGGTGACTAGTTTCCTTTCAAGAATGTACAGCTCTCAGTCATTTAGTTAATCTGTTCCTGTTCCTAAAACAACACTTACCAAGGGATTGAAATAGTTCAGTCATCTTAGGATGATCCCAGCAGGTCGTCTGTGTTTGATGACTGAAAAAAAGGGTAAAGTTTTAAAAACAAACAAAAGACCATCAAATCTAGGCCACAAAGAAAATACTCAAATGGAATTCTTTTTTTCAAAAATTTCAAGATACATACAAAATCGCCACCATCGTGGATTACTCAGGACCTGATGGCTAATTATTACTTAATATTGGAAACACTAACAATGCATTTTATTTGACCAACCATATTGTGACAGAACAGATGAAAATTTCTGATTTTCCTGTTATCAAAAAGAACTGAAACTAAATATTAAAATCTAGATATCAAGAGTGACTGTCGGGGGCACTTGGGGCCCCAGGATGATGTGGTCAAGTCAGTAGAGGTGTCAGAATAAATCCGATCCCGAAAAGCAGATGTAGATTCTCATGCAGAACAAATCCCCAGGCAGCAGAAGCGCTGTGAAGATCTGCTATCATCTAGCAATCTTAACTGAATTTTCAGAGACCAGAGGAATGAAGAGTTTAAGTGTGAATGGTATTTCCACCTCACAGTCCATGGAGCTGCCCTCCTTTCTAACCCTGGCTCCCTCCTTCCTCAGTGCAGATTTGCTCTCCTTCCTCTTCCTGTGTATCCAGAGCTCCTCTCCTCTCAGGTAGGTGTCTCTCTCTTGAACATTTTGATTCTTCTCAGCTTCCTCTGGGAACCAGCATTATTATTTGTATATGTATTGAACTATTTTGTTTCTGATCCTTATTCCTCACTTTCAAAGCAAATTTTTATTACTTTCTCTTTTTCTGAAAATTTCAAAACTAATACATATATTAGCTGGAAGTCCATAAGCCATCGGATGAGAGTAAAACAGATAAATATAGTGTTTAAAATTGTATATGTGTGTGTGGTGTGTGTGTTAAGTAGTTCATCGCTTTGATGGGTTAGTGGCCTTATTTTTAAAAATAGTTTACTGTCCCTTATCTAGGTCAGAATAGGGTAATAATATTTAATAGTACTCAAAAGACTTCTTAGACAATACTAAGTTCTTACAGAATTGTTTAGTAAGCTTTGTGAAACACCACAGTATACAAGAGAGAAGATACTAAAATATTCATGAAACAAATTTAGGAAAAATTGTTTTAAAACTTATGTAATATATCAAAAAGTGGGACATGTCCCTGGGATAAGAACATAATCCACTGTTATATATATTACAGATAACAAAACCCACAAATAATTCATAATTCACTTGGATAAGTATATAAAGTTCGTATTTGAAATCGAGTGTGTAAAATGTTCTGGCAATTCCAAAACTCAAGCAAAACTATATACCGTAATTCCACAATGGGAAGATCTATTTCAGGATGAGCTGGAAAAACTATCTGACTCCCTCTCCTCTGGTTCTTGACTCTAATGTAAAAAGGCAACGATTTCCACTTGACTTGAACACTAATAAATCCATCCACCTTTTCATTATCTACACTGTTCCAAGGAACATGGGTCAAGTATTCAGCTGTCTGCCCTCAATTCTTCCTATACATAAGGTGGCCAAGAACTTGATAGAAATGTGGAATCACAGAAAGAATAGTCTCCCTAATACCACTAAGAATGAAAGAACAATTTGCTGAAAATATAGTATAATTTCAGGACATCATCGTGGGCTCCTGGTCTTAGCCTACAAAGACTCAGTTGATTCCTTGTCTTTTGGGTAAGTTCACTCCCATGAGAAGAGTACTGTGCAGACTTCCCATCCTGATGGGACAAACTAAGGCTGGAGGACCAACCTAAAGCTCTCAGAAACCCAGAGCCAGACTCTTACTTAAATGGCAAATATAAGGATGCTTTCTCTAGAATCACATGTGTGGAGGCTAACCTCACACAACCTCTACATGACCACAGGAGGAAAATGCCACTACCCACTCAGGGAGAAGACTGAGAATCCAACCCGCTACTGACGTCCCGGAGCTGAGGGAAAACACACATTTGGCAAACAGATGGAGGGAGGGAAACGGCATCTCCCTTTGTGAATTCAATACCAGTTGATTCATTAGGCAGAACTGCCAATGCTGAAAATAAATACATCTTCTGGTTACAAAAGTAAAACTGCATCTTACCAAACAACAGTCAAAAAAAGCAGTAGATGCAGTTTGCTGTTGGGTTTTGTTTCTTTTCTTTTTCTTTCCTTTCTTTTCCTTTCCTCTTTCTTTTTTCTTTTCCTTCCTTCCTTCCTTCCTTTCATTCATTCGTTCTTTTTTATTTAAGTGGGGAGAAAGGATTAGAACAAAATCCACAATGAACCCAAAGCCTTGAAGTATTTGAACAGCTGCAGATAGCTCAGCAACTCTTGCTAAAATGCATCCAGTTCTCCCATCAAAAGGGAATCAGAGTAACACCACCTCCAAAAGAACAGCTTAGGGCCAAGGATTTAGCTCAGTGGTTTCGCCGCTTGCTGAGCAAGCACAAGGACCCGAGTTCGATCCTGGTACCAACAAAAAAGAACAGCTTAGCTTCATTCAAGCTAATCTCAAATATGAAAAAGGAAGTGGAACTTAATACTATGTAGTCTGATGAACTATCATATAAAATTATGATTGAGTTACCAAAATCCTCTTTTTAAAAGTCATCAGACATAGGAATCTGTCTGAGAATATGAAAAATTTAAAATGTAACCAAGCAACAAGCAATAGTTGAGTCCAAAGCAATAGTGAAAATGTGTGACATCTAACTAGGGTCCCTGGCCCCCTCAGTTGTGCCTAAGATAGGAGGCTTTGGGTGGGGGGAAATCAGTGTGTACCCTATAAAGCTTAAATTATCTCTGAGCTATTTTAAATTCTGTAAACTGAAGACACCTTATCACAATGCATGACTTTTGTCCATAGAAATGCAAATTGTGTCCCATGGAATCCAGCTATTATTGACCTGTGGATATTGACTATTTTGTCAGCTTTGCATCTCTAAGTAAATTCATCTTGGTATCCCTTATCTGACTATAAAGACAAGGCACTTTGTCTTCTCTTTGAAGACTGCCTCAACTTCTTATTGGTTCTCTTATTAATGAGTTAAATGACATATCTGACATATGCTCCTTTTATATTTGTATAAGAGTGAAGATTTTACCTATTTTGAAAATTATTCTTCAACATCCAGACAGTCGTTCTTTATACTGGACTTTAGGTAGGAATTACACAGCAGTGTGTGATTTGACTGGTATGATTTCTACCAATGGCCCTTTACATGTGACTGTCCCAGTTGGGATAATATGGGGTCTCACATATTATGGGATTTAGTGAAATACTATACCAACAAGGTTAGTAAGTAGTATAGGCATCTACCTGGTGTTATTCAGAATAATGTACTCTAAAAGTAAAACAATGTACTTTGTACATTGTACTCATGTACTCATGAGTAAAACAAAAAAATATGATAGTACACAAACAAATACAAAAGTGTTGTGTCATAACACTGCTTATTATGTGAAGCAATGAACTTAGAGCAAAGTATGTTTACTTTTGACAAATTAGTAAGAGACTGATTTCTGGGCAAACAACTGCTCTGGGGAAGATATTTTTAAAACCCATTTGTCCTCATTAGAATAGTCTTATTTTTTCCCTAGAACACAGAAAGATGATTAGAAGGCATTCTTCTTCTCCAAAAACTGACACGTGGCCAAAAATACTCACTTGTTACTATCTACCCAATTTCATGTTTGAAACTAAAATTTAGAGGTTTGCTATTTATCATTTCAGTCCCATTTTAAATGTAAAAGCATATGAGAGAAAAAAACTAAAAATGAGCAAGTTAATTAAAAACATAAATGTAAGAAAAAGAACTCTGATAATTGCTCTGGGAGAAGACAATCAAAAAGAGAAATGTTTTTTCCTTGCTGTCAAAGAGAAAGATAACACATTAGGCCAGGTTGCATAATATTAATTATAGGGATAGACTAACATGCTAGTGTTCAAGTTGTACTTTTTGATGGAAAATTCTCCTTTTCTATATGTAAACTCAATTCACCCTATAATGTTGTGATTTAGGTGACATTTGACAGATGAAGGTAAGTCAGGCAGACAGCACTCAGAGAATTTGTCCAAGGTCACAAGCAAGTAGCAGGCATGACACCTGAACACAGATGATTTGATTATAAGCCTGAGCCTTGATACAGAAGTATATTTGCAAAATTAGGGTTGTAAAGTGTTTCTTGATGAAGCTACCCATATCTGAGCCCATAGCCCATCATTATAATCATTACAAACAAGCCCATCTCCCTGGCTGCATCTCACTCCTCTCAAACCTTGGGCCTGGATCTGCTTACTGGCTTGCCTTTTCTGAACTGAGGCAGCTGGAGAATACACTGGAGAAAACTGCTCAAGAGTCAGCCTACTTTACTTTCAATATCGGATTTCAAATCTAAAATGTCCAACTGCTGGTAACTGCACTACATTCCTTAATAAACTTGCTTCCCCAAACCCCAAGATGCTCATTTCCTACTGCCTCCTCTCTCCCAAACTAGAAGTAAGTTTCCCTCCTTGCTCTAGAATCTTTTGATTTTATCTCATGCTTCACTAAAAAATTAAACCCCATTAGACTAGGTTTCCTTCATCTTCCTATGACCAAATCAGTAAACTTCCCTCTAGCCACTAGCTGGGCTTCCCCTCTCCTTCACTGAGGAACTGTCACCTTCCTATCAAGAGCCAATACTTCCCAAGGACTTAAAAACTCTCATGCTGCATGATCAACCCTCTCTCAGTAAGGATATTCTTGAGAATACAAAGTTTATAGACCTGCCATACACACACACACACACACACACACACACACACACACACAAATCCACATTTTCTGCTAGCTACCGGTACCACCCTTTTTCTCTCCTTCACAAACAAAACTTACAAAAGTTGTATTCTGCACACACTTTCTCATGCCTCCTTTGTTAATCGACCTGGTTATACTTGGCTTCTAATTTCTCTCCTTCACTCAAACTACTCTTATTAAAATTACCAGTGAGTGCCATGGTACTAAGCCACTCCACTCCCGAGGGTGGGAAGAAAGAAACTTCCTAAATCAGTCATGTAGTACATTTAGAAGATGAGAGACAATATGAAAAAAAAGAAATAATCAGAAAAATGAAGTTAACCCAGGCAAAATGTTGGCTCTGCTGATGTCTACTTTACATATGCTCATTAAAGTTATAAAAGGAATCAAGAGTTCCTATCTAATCAATTCTGCATATGGGTGACTAAGGGATAAAAAGTGCAGACAGATTTTGGCAATGTGGTGTGACATCATTCATTGGAGTAATACTTCCTTAAAGATCTAAGAGTTATATACCAATTTTGAACTTTACACTTTTCCATTTTTGTTTTTTTTCAGGCATGAATATATGAAAAATTGGAGTAACCCCAAGGGTAATGCTGACCCTCACTCTGGGCACGTCCTTTGGGAGTGTTGGGGCAGTAGATGAGAAAGCTATGTGGGAAGCAACTCACATGTTCCCCAGGTTATCTGCAACTTCTCCAACCTCTCACAAACACTTTCTGCTCTTCTCTATGCTTTGAAAAGGGGGAAATCCCCAGGTTATATGTGGTACAATAAGATACACTCCCCCTCTTAGAATACTCCTCCATCTCTGAATATATTTATCCCATTTTTCTTGCTGTTTTCTGAAGCACTTCTAGAAGTTCTCTTTTGTAACTGTCTAAATGTGTTGTCAGGGCTCTCACATGTCCTGAATGGACTGAAAACATTTATGGAAATTTCCATCAAATAAAAACATTACAGTGTGTCCTCATCCACCTTTTTACCAGATCTGGCACTGTACAGTCTCTGGCTCCTCTCCAAAGATAAACATTATGAGTCAATTCAGGACACTGAGGTAATCATAACAATATGATTAAAGAAACACATGAAAGAGGACTTCCAGAACTGCTTCAGAAAGTGGCAAAATTTATAGGATAGTACGTTCAAAGTGAGGTGAAGTATATTGAGGGAGATTAATGCTGTTTCCTTTAGTGTAATGATTTTTTTCAAAGCTTAGACATTCACTATACTTTTGGGTTGTATCTCATACTCTCAGAAACACAGGAATAAATTTAAGGAAAAAAAGAAAGTGTCAATGTGAACAATTTAAAAATTCAAATAAAATGTATGATCCCAGGGTAATAACATTCTATGAAGGTACAAAGTCTTACAAGAAAAACAGCCATGAGCCCCTCATGATCGTGAAGCTAGGAGACAGAGGACATCTAAGCGTAAAATAATGGAAAACTCCAAGTCTCCTGGATCTGACTACAGAATGCAATTAACACAGTTTTACATTCAGGTCCGAAGATACAGCACATAAAGGACTGTGAGAAACAGGCTACCACACACCTCTGAATCTTGACCCAGTCATGCTGTAACACTGTCCCACCCAAAAGGCTGGGGCCTGGATGGAACTAAAGTGAGAGGAGGTCGCTGGTGGTACCAGCCGACTGTGCCTCGTGCGATGCATCTTTTGCAGCTGTGGACATCAGACTCCAGTTTTTTCAGCCTTTCCATGTGGACTTACACCAGTGACTCTCCAGGGAGCTTTGAGGCCTCGGCCAAGGGCTGCCTATTTGCTCCCTCTAATGCCCAGGCTTTCAGCTTTGTGCACTGAGCAGCGACTGGTTTCTCTGGATCTCCAGCGTGTACATGGCCACTGTGAGGCTCCCCTCCTCTGACCATATGAGTCGCTGTATAACTATGTGTCTCCTAGTGGTTCTGTTCCTCTGGAGAACCAAGACATACAGAAGCCTCACTTCCTGCCCTCCTCTACCGCCAATCTCTGATTCTCAGAGTGCAGGTCATATGCTGTGGCACTGGCCAGGGGAAGCTCTGTGTGCCCTTGCCTGAGGGTATTAGCACCAGGCTTTTGTTTCTATCAGAGTCAAATTTGTTGTTGTGTCTTTTTGGTTTCTGTTTAAAAGCTGAGCCTGGTGCATGTAATCCTAGCACTTGGGAGGCTGAGACAGGAGGATCGCTGAAACTTTGAGGCCAGCCTTCCCTACATAGTGAGTTCAATATCAGCCGAATTGCATTGTGAGACCCTGTCTCAAAAAACAACAAAATGAAAAGCTGAATTTGTATTTTTTCACTTTTAAGAAAAAAATTTACTACTTTATTTCTTCTATTTCTATGTATATATTTTAATATCTTTATTGAAAATTGATATTTTCATTCCCAATCTCCTATCAGAGTCTGTCAGGTCTTTGAAGAATGACATTCTCTTATCTATAGAAAATCACAGTAGTCCATTACTGTGTCATAGTGTGAAACTTCCTTAAACAAACAAACATAGAACAGCTTATAGAAAGGGCCACATCAAGACAGTGCAGGAGACTGGGGAAGGCATGAGCCATCAAACAAAGCATGCACTTTGTATATAAGTGCAACAGGTACATAATAAATGGAAACCAGTCTATAATATGAAAGAAGGGGTGTTTGCTTATTTTCTCCACTGGTCTTTACTTTCTTAAATATAATCCTTCATCCTATCCAAATTTTCTATGTGATTAAATATTTCTGGTATCTGTCTCAATTACAGGGATCCAGGACAGAAGCACGGAGGATGAACATTCCAGAGCCAGAGACAGACCTCTGTGTGTATTTATTAATTACCTTAATGTGTATATTAGTTACCATCAATGGGAACAATAACAGAATCTATTATTGGGCTATTGCTGGGATAAGAGAATAAAAGAAGTCACCCACCACACAGAGTCTAGCATAGTGCCTGGCAAATCAGTGTTCATCACAACGATCATCACTGCTATCCACTACAACTATTCAGTATTTTATATGGCTATTTCTGGAACAAAATAGAAAAGCAGTTTTGTGTGATTAATTTGACATACTAGGAAAATTAAACCCGAAGTTTTTATAACTCTCTGGAGATTAACTTTCAGATACAGAAATGAATAATTTGTATAAAACACAAACAAAACATATACAAGTGAAGAGATCTGGCTTTTATGGTATGGTAGACTTTTGCATATTTTGATGACAGCAGGAGCCAATTTCAAACTTTATTAAACTTAGAGTATAATGAACTGTCATAGGCTATATTAGAAAAAATGAGTTCAGTTTTAGGAAGTTTTTCTTATACATTTTAAATATAATTTAAAAATATGTTTCAACTCAAAAGCTTGTTATAGTTTGGATCTTAAACATACACAAAGGCTACATGGAAAGGCTTAATCTATAGAGTGATACTATTCGAAGGTTGTGGAGTCTTTAAGAGGTGGGGCTAGTGGAGGTCTTCCAGTCATTGGTTGGGTGGCTCCAAGGGGATTGTGGGATACCCTTCCCCCTCAAGCCCTTCCTCTTCCTTTCTTTTGCTTTCTGGTCATCAGGTGAGTAGTTTTGCTCTGTCTTGTGCTTCCCAGCATGATAAGCTGGCTCGCCACAGGTCTAAAAGCAATGGGTCAACAGATCTTGGATTGGAACCTCCAAAATTATGGGTTAAAATAATAATTTTCCCCTTGTAAGTTTATTACCTCAGATATTTTGTATTGTGCTGGAAAGCTGACTAAAACAGAAATTAACAAACACAGGAATTTATACCACAAATACTGTAACAGTTCAGATCTATATTTGGTCATTTTCTACAAACAAGTATACTTCAAAATGTTAGGCAGGAATTACTTAGAAAGTCAGAAATGCATTGGGAAGCCACCAAAGTATATTATAACTAATCTGTAAAGTTAAAATATGTAATAAAAATAAATTTTCCTGATTCTCTTTTCAAATCTCTTGCTCCACTCTATCATTAAAATACATATATAAAAGTGTATACTTAAATACTGAAAACATCTACTATTTTTACTTGAATATTATTATTTGTTGGCCAAATTAATACATTCTAATTTGCCTAAGGAAAATTGAATTTCATGACAAGCTAAATTTGTTTTTAACATTTTTCTTCTACTTACTAGTACAGTCATGCAAGACAATGTATGTTCAAATCTTTGTAAATAGGGAGGAATGGAGGGGTTGAAGGGAGGGCTGGGCAAGGGTGAAAAATAAGAACCAAGAGAGAATATGTAAAGGTGTAAATTT